TGAGGTATACCTATGATGAAAATTACAGGCCTCTCTCATCTTTTTAAGTGGGAGAACTTGCACAATTGGTGGCTGACTAAATACTTTTTTGCCCCACTGTATAGCTTGTACAAACGCCTGCTTCATTTTTACAACAGATGAGGCTCTTTCTGTTGCTTTGAACATATTCCACTTAGAATGACTGCATTGTAAACAGCTCTTTTCTCTTAAATTCCACTCAGGTGGTATTTATATTATAAAAATAAAACAATTTCTGTTCTAGTAAAAGAAACAGAAAACACAGCAAAAGACGTAGACCTTCTGTTGTACTTGGTCTCTTAGTGAGACAGACACCATTATTCATGCAGGAAACAACTGCTTACTGTGAACATTGTAAGTGTCTGGTTCTTCCTTCCTCTTTCTTTCTTTGGCTTCATATGTGATGGATGCTATTGAATCTGACAGTTATGGAAAGATGGTAGAGAAGCGTATAGTGTGAAAAACCACAGACTTAATGTTGTTCTCTATTAAATCACCCAAGAACAACATGGTTTGTTATGCTCGATGAGACTCACCGCACAAAACCCGTTAGAAATTTGATCAAAGCCTTTGAGAACAACCACTTGCTTTAGAAAAGCAAATGCTGCCTTTGGCAGCAAAGCATAAAGCTGGGCAACTTTTGCAAATGTTTTGTAAAGGTTCACAAGAGCATTCTGAAGTGAGAGTGATGGCAAGTCCCTTCGTTCACTTACCTGATAGGCTCTAATCAACGACTGGACCGCCAGATGATCTTCAACCAGCTTCTCGGCTTTACCAGGTGCTTTAGTCAGCCCATGGCTTTGGATAAGTGATGTTTTGCTTTCTGAAAGGTCTGGCAAAGGTGACTGAAAGGGTTGTCCCGGAAGAGCCTTAGCAGTAGCATTACGGAAAAATAAATCCCAAGACTAAACAAGACAGTAGGAGGCAGGAGGATGGGAGAGAGAGGAGTGAGAAATGGTTATCTTAGACCCAGCAGGTTTTAAAACAACATAATGCTGACCCCAGACTCAAGCCCTCATTCTTTGGTTCCTTTTTCCTGCTGCCGTATGCAAAACCTCCCATTCAGGTCTTCATGTACATCCTGTTATCATCCCTGCTGAAAAACCGAAGGCAGTAATTGCAAATGCCATGTTATACTTGGATTCAACAACTAGAATCAGAAACAAGCAATGGATTTATATAGTTATCTTTCCTCTCTCCTCCCCAGTGAGGCATTTAAATCCTGTCTTCTCTTCATAGTGATTTCCTACATTGCTAATATTAATAAATAAAATAGGAGATTTTGTGATGGCTCTCTTATTAATTTTATCCCCTCCTGTTTTGTGCGCTTTTATAGTTTTTATTGTAATCGTTTTGATGTATTTATTCTTTTTAATTGTTGTATGCCACCCAAGGTCCCTTCGTGTGAGATGGGTGACTATATAAATATGATAAATAAAAAAATAAATACAAAATGGGGTAAGCTGTGATTGGCTGATCCATGGTTTGCTGAACAATTCACAACAGGCTGGGCTCTCATAATGCTAGGCCAAAATGTAATAAATCGTGAACCACAGACTAGCCAACTACATTGAAACCTAGCATGTTGAATGAACCAAGGCCATGTGGTTAGTGTATGGTTCAACTGGCTGAATTAACCACGGTCCGGGTAATCAAATTTCTCTAAAGAAGTTTGCCATTGAGTATTTTTGCTTATCCACTAGCAAACTCTCCATCTTCTAGAAAAATAACGAGATATAGATTTGTTAGATAATGATACTATATTTCCATTTCATTCATATAAATGTGAAAGTCTTCCTCAAATGAAGATCAACTCCTGGTGACTTCATGGATAGATAGTTCCATGTTGTCCTCAGTAGTGCTTTCATCCAAGATGTTTTCCAAGTTCTAAACCTACAGCCCTTGAGGTCTCTGAGGCTCAATCCTGCTTAGCTTTCATGTGCAGACAAGATCAGCCCCTGCTGAGAGAAGACACCCTGGAATCACATTTGACTCCTGGGAACAGCATCTCTGCAACTCCCTTGGCAGCACAATGGAAGTGGTTTGCATTGTCTTCCTCCTGGATATTTTTTCAACTTCCCAGTCTACCATCAGCCTGAAGACTTCTTGATTATCTCTTTTCAAGAACTAATCGGGGCCAATTGAGATAGCCAAAGACAAGTGCTTTTTAAGTGGGGTTGTTGTTTTTTTTGGACAAGTACTTTTTAAATGCTGCCACCTGTTTAAGCAAGCAGATGTTTGCACAACATACGTGCACTTCCTTAGTTTAACCATGATGCACTCAATTAACTGAACTATGAATGAATTCCCTGCCTGTGTAATAGAATAAATAACTCAGTTTGTATGACTTACAAATCCTCAACTAAATGAGCAAAAAGTCATTATCTGTTGAATCAACAAGGAAACATTTGTTGCCCCACAAGAGATCACATTCTGACTTAAAAAAATTATTCCAGTAGCATTGTAGATTTACAAAAGACAAAGAGAGCACAAGACACACTATAGATAACTTACTGTAGATATCGTACAGGGCTAGAACTCAGAACTGGTGAGATGTGTGGCATTTTTTCTTGTTTCTAGAGACTAGAATTTGGTGAGCCACCCCCTCCCACTACATAGCTTTAAAAGTTTGCTGACCATCCTCTTAAACAGGGAAATATTTTTCCCCTTTCCTCTCCCAATACTGTACCCTCCCCTCCGAATTCTGTCCTGTGATGTCTAGAGTCCCATGACGCCCTCTTTGGTAAGGGAAGAATACATCATATTGTGGGTCCTACATTATGGGGGTAAAACAACGTACATAAATTTGGAGCTAAAGAGAAGTTCTCAAATCTGGAAAGCTTGAAAACTACTGAATTAAACCTTATACAAAAGGCTCCAAAGACCCCCTTCTGTTGGGATTGACAGGCGAGGTGTGATACAAATCCCATATAAGCAAACTCCATTTTTTTTCTCCACTGCCCCTTAGTGGGCAAGGAAAACCTCTGACCCAGAGGGTGAATACAGCCCACCTGGATTACCCATCTGGCCTGCCAAACATTTCTCTCTTCCTCCCTCTCCCAGGACAGAGAAAGGAGAAGGAGCTTCTCTTTGATTAATAGCATACTAGAAGAAAGTCAGTTCATCTTCACCCCAGCTAACTCAGCAAAGGGGCAGAGAAAAGCAGTCCTTCCTTTCAGCAGTCCATCTGAGTTCTTCCTCCCTTGATGCAGAGTAACTATCTTAATCTACTCAGAGGGATGCTGGAGAAGCACCCAGCTTCCCCATGGGGACAGGCCTTCTCCTTTTCCTTGTCACCATCCAGTCCACGTCATCAAACAGCTTCAGAATATTGCTATTATTTGTTATGATCCAGGATGTGGGTGAAACCTAATGCATTATGTTGTAGGAGGAGAGCTGTGTTAGTTCATGGGGCAAAAAAAGTACCTTGTTAATTGACAAGGTATTTGTCATCTGTCTCACATATAACCTGCATGCATGTAACAAACCTGTCTTCCCCTCCCTTCCCCTTCCTCCAATTTAAATCCTACATCAGTCTAGCCACTCTTTGCATCTGATGAAGTGCTGAGCTCATGAAAGCATACACCTTTCAATAATAGTTATTAGTCAGAAAAGGTGCAACCAGACTCCTCCTGATTTAATGCATTATAGTAGCTTACATTTTATGAATAATCTTAAGAGTGAAACAATATGCCATTAACTGAGCAATCAGCAAGCACATGAAGACAGAAGAACGAATTCTTTTAAACAGTGAGTTTTAAATATAAGCGATTGTCTGTCATTATGGGACATATTAATGTAGATCGCTACATCCATAAGACTTCAATTTAATTTATTATAAAAGCCAGTGCTCAGAATGGCGCCAAGAAAAAGTTATTTGCATGGTTTTAAGTAACCTCTTTCTTACTACTTGGTGGTGTTCCCTAGCCCTTGCATTCCTAGTAGCTGTATTTCTAAACGTTATTGTTACTGGGCATTATAATTGCATTAAGGAAACAAAGCCAAGCAACCTTCACCACGCTAGGTAAACAGAATCAAGAAAGCTGTGGCACAGTCATGGAAGACTGGCTGCATATTGGGAAGATGACAACAGACAGAAATTCCATAGGCATCCAAGCATTTTTTTCAATTAATCTTGTGATAGCAATAACTGAATCTTGTCAAACCTCTTCCCTGTGATATATAGTCCTGACACCATTCCATGAGTAGAAATAATACCTTTCTCAGAGCGTCTGACATGTCATTCCCCTACCTGCTTCAGATGCTAGTTTGCCCTGGTGGAACAGAGGACAGCTACAGTGGAGGAAGGAAAAAGCACACTGGGTCTTAAAAGCTGACCCAAAGGATTAACTGGGAAAGATACAGTTTCCAGGCAATTACTGTTGAAATCTAAACGTGTTTAATTTTTTCCACTGCTTCCTGGTGGAATGTTTAGGATTTGCAGTTTTAGTAAGTATCAAAAGACTACTGCATTGTACTATGCTTTTAACATTACTGGCACATATTGTATATTAGATAAAACACCCACTTCCACAGTTAGCCATACATTCACCCTACCTTAATGAACACTGCAATCAAATGATCATTAAGGTGGCCTGTCTGGCTATTACAATCTGTATGAAGAGGCCAGTTGTAGCTCATCCAAGGTGAAGAGGTGCAGAAGAGAGTTAACATGAAAAAGGCTTTTTCAGTTAACTTCTATAGGTTTTCCAGCATGGATGAATTTTTCCCAGATTCTCTCAGGGCACTGTTCAACTACATCAGATTACAGAGATTGTCACAATTCCCCAGGACATACTTCTTGGGCAAAGACTTTTCAAAATCCTTGTTCCGTCTGCATTATTATATTTGATTGTATTTCTTTTTCCTGCTGAGCCTATTTTATCCCATTTTTATGTAACAGATTCTTTATTGTTTTTAATCAATGCTGTCCTTTGGAAAGTAACTTCACAAAAAGTCCAAAAATTGCACAGTAGAATATACTTGTTACACTCCTCAAAAAATAAGGCCTGATGCAAACATAATGCTGGCCATATTTTTAAAAATAATATATCTGTGACATCATGTTTAAACTCAGGTGTTAGCACCTGTCCTGAGAGTTTAGCATGGCCATGCATTAGGTGCCAACATCCCACTGAAAAAAGATCTTAAACAGGATGTTGATTGTGTGGAATGTTGCATGAGTATCCCATCTTTTTCAGAAAAAAGTCCCAGGCTTATGTTTAAGCAAGCCTGCATGGGATGAAGCTGTAGACATGACTGTTATCCTTTTCACATTACTGCTGTGTTGAGAGTGGAGAGAATATAACATTTGATCTGTAGAGATTCAGTCACTGCAAAATATTTCTTCTTAATGTACATATGTTCATGGAATTCTCCCCAGAAGATGCCTCTCTCAAAAGTTAGAAAAGTTTATTTTACAATATTCTAGATTACTTAAGATGGAATCCATACAAATTTGTTGAATGCTTACCTGTACAACTTCTAAGGTCAATTCCTGCATTTTGTGAACCCAAGCACTGATAAAAAAATCCCATGGAAAAGTGCAACTATAGGCCATACCCAGTGGCTAATAAAAATACAAAACTAAATTCTGTAGGAAAAGCATAAGCTATTAAGCAACAGTGTTAATTATACTTGCACTCTGCTTTGAGAGAAAGAGATTCCAACCAGTGCTAGCAATGCTGGGCTTTTCCATTCACTGCAGGGCCCTGTTTTGCTTGGTTTCATATAAAAGTTTCTTTTTTCATATAGATTCAAGACCCTAACCTATGTGCTGATATCCTCAACCAATCTAAGAGCTTAGACTAGTGTTTCTCAACCTTGACAAGGTTGTGGACTTTAAGATGTGTGGACTTCAACTCCCAGAATTCCCCAGCCAGCATGGGGAAACTGAGAAACTAAGAAACTGGCTTAGACTTTGTGAAAGAGAGCAGCTCATCCATGAAGCTCCAAATGATTAAAGTTTTCCTCTGAACCAGTTAGACTTGTAGCTATGCCACACTTGGGCAATAATGCAGCACGAGAACTCCTAACTTAATTAACAAATTATGTACAAATAAAGTTCCTTTCCATCTATCCTTCCATCCAAAGCAGATCATCATGCACAGCATTTACATGTTAGATTTCATGATAAGATAATCATAATATAATTATAATATTACAAGAGGAATACAAAAGCCTAATAATTGCTGATGTTCCCCTAATAATTAAAGCTTCACCCCTGAACACATAAAGGAGTTTCTCATCTGAATAGATGGGTTTTAATTCTGAGTAAACTGGGTGCACACACAGTACTGAGAAGAAACAGGGAGAAGTACAAATACCAATTTTAATATTTTTAAATGTGGAAGTATCCTAACACGTTTTGGATATATAAATCTTACCTTATGCACGCTGTTTGGGTCTTCAAGCCATGCGTAATACATTTCTTCAACATAGCTTGAATTACTCCCACTCAAGAATGGTTCTTTGACTCCAGGGGAAACATAAGGCCGACTTGGCAGAAATGCTTTCTTGTTTATATTTTTCTTCACCAAGGAAGAAATGCCACAACATTTCAGAGTATCAGCGAGCAACCGCAAGTGACTCATATTTCATAGATGAGGAACTATTTAAAAGGAAAAACAGAAAACAGACAACACATGATGGGTACCTTACAATAAAAGACACACTATGTTCTAAGAGATTTTGTACTGAGAACAAAGAACTTTGTTCTGGTGGAAAAAGCCAATTCCTAGGAAATACTTTGCTGCAAAAGTTATTGATTCTAACAAGAATTATGTGTGCAGCTTCCTACAAGGCAGGAAAGCTATATTTGAAATCTAAATTTGTTGGTGTTCTCAGAATGCAGTGCTGCCATTAGTCCTGTTAAATGCCTATTTTTGTCTCCATAAATATTAAAGTGAGTGTAAAGTGAGTCCACTTGTTGAGTCTTCCTTCCAAAAACAGGGCAAGCTCAACCAAGCTTGGTCAGAATCAGCAAGACAGTGGATGGAGCATCCCAACACAAGGGCCACCCCTTTTGAATGAGCATGCATTGACACAGGTACAAAATGACACAGGCTTGCACTGCAACCCTCTGTTTACCTTCTTGCCAAATTTGTCACCCAACCATCTCCTCACGCAGACAGCAGTGTCTCAAAACCCACATTTATCTGAATCCACTTTCCCAAATGATTTTCCTAGGACTCCACTTTAAGTACTGGAGAAATCACCAGTGTAAGTCATTCAAGACACCGATGATTCAATTTGAATGTCCATCCTTGTGTTCAAAACTCTGGCAGAAAATAAAGGACAACAGATCCTTTATCCACCCCGGTGTCACAGAGAATTGCCTTCTAAATATCCTCAAAGATTAAGGTTCCTGATAAAGGATCTGTTGTCCTTGATTTTCAACTGCAGCTGTCCATTTCCAACACTGCTTTGTGCATTTCTGCCCACATTTTTGTAAACACTTGTCCACTGTTCTGCCAAAAGTCTTAAAGGCAGTTTGAGGAAAAGGGGTTCAAAATTAATTATTAAAAAATATACACAATCCTCAAAGGCTTCATTCTCACCACACTATGGCAGCAAATCTTGTCTTCCAAATGCCTGTGATTTGCTTAGCGTACTGTGTGACCCTGGCCACTCTCATGTACAGAAACTTGTAGTTTATACATTGTTATGGCTTAGTGTAATGTATAAACCCAGCTTATCTACTTATTTTTGGTTCATTGAACAAACCAGAATTCACAAGGTTTGCACAAGTTCCTGCACCATAAACTACAGTTTATAAACAGTAATGATTTCGTTTTATATACGCATGATTTGGCTTAGTCAATAACAAGGTATAAGATAAAGTGCAACAATGCGATTTGTAAGCATTTGGGAAATCAGCAAAAATTGGGGGCAATATCTTTCTACCTATAAAAAAAGACACCTTGGATAAAAGCCACTGAAATTAACTCTTCATGATATTATTTGCACGATATATTCATTACCTCATTCTGTACCCAAAGCAACAGTTTCATGCTAACTCATTCTGATTCCACAAAATATAACTGAAAGTCTTAGGGAAAAAATCCTGGTGATACTCACAATGGGACAAAAACTGATACCACTGTGCTCCAAGACCTAAAACTATCATCCCGAAATACAAAGGCAGCAGTGGGACAATGAATGTATTTCCACAACCTGCCAAGAGTAGTTTTGGGCAGTGTCTCAGCAATCTTTGCACCATTCAGCACCCTCTTTGATTTACTGTGAAGAACAACAAAAAATGTGGTGGATCTGGTCAGGCTTGGATCCACTGCACATGGGCGGGCGAGAGGGGACAGGCTAATCCTTCCTCAGTTTCTTTGCTTTCAAAAACAAGCCATTTTAAGGGTTCCATTCCTGAACTGAATGCATTGGCAATAAATTGCAAATAGAATACAGTAATTAAATGTACAGTGAAGCATGTGGTTGGGAAAAAAGCTACCTTGAGTAGTAGCAGTGGCATCTGTTAAGAAATTGTGATAATACTGAGACATGTACGATACTGTGGTGACAAGCCTGATATTGCACAATTACATACTTACAGGTCTGTAAGTCACATTTTCAAGATGACATCATCAGGTACATCATCATATCCCCCTCATAAAACTACAATGTGAGTTGTTTTATTTTGATGTAGTACTAGGTGTGAACTGAGCCCTGCAGTCATCTATAAAGTACACTTTCTGTCTTAGTGTATAGTATAAACCCACCCAACTGTGGTTGATACAATAAATCACAATTAAATACACCATGACTTAGCACGTCTATGCATAAACTTATAAACTTATTTACCTCTATGCATTCACAAGGAAATGGACATACTGTTTTTGAGAATGGTGGATTCACGTATTTCGTGCACACCAAGAAATTCCTCTATGTACAACTCTACAACTGATCAGACAAATGTACATGGATAATTACATTTAGTATTTGCTTAGGGATACAAAGTAAGCCATAACATCTAAGTGTTTGTGTTATGCAGCAGTATATACCAAACAAAGTGAACACATACACTGGCACACAAAGAGAGTGATTTATTTTAAATTTACAGAGATGTTTGAACCCTTAATAAATTTATTGCCTCCCTGTCTAGAGAATTACTTTGCAAATCATCAGTCCATATACCTAAGTCCAGCCTAATATTTATTAATTGACTGATTATGTGCCATCAATTTTTGTCGACTCTTAGTGACCACACAGATAGATTTTCTCCATAACAATCTGTCCCTAACCTGGTCTTTCAGGTGTTCCAACGGTGCACTCATCACCACTGTAGCTGAGCCTACGGACCTTGCTACTGGTTGTCTTCTTCTTCTCTTTCCTTCCACCTTTCCCAGCATTAGAGCTTTCTTCAGAGACCTAGGTCTTCATACAATGTGTCCGCAGTAGGATAATTTCAGCCATTTGTGCCACCAGTGAGAACTCTGGGTTGATTTGTTTGATGATCCATTTGTTGTTTTCTTCGCTGTCCATGGTATTCACAGGAGTCTTCTCCAACACCAAAGTTCAAAGGAGTCAATACTCTTCCTATCCTGCTTCTTTTAAGTCCAATTTTCACTTCCATAGAGTGTCACAGGGAATACCATGCTTTGTACAATTCTGATCTTTGTAAATATAGACACACCATGGCATTTGAATATTGTTTCCGAGGCCTTCATAGCTGCTCTACTACGTGCTAGTCTGTAGTGCATTGCTCAACTGCTTGTTCCTTTACTGTTGATAGTTGATCTTAAAAGGCAGAACTTATCTATCAGTTCGATATCTTCATTGTCAATTCTAAGGCTGGTTGTTCTACCTGTTGTTATTAGTTTATATTTATACAAAATTACAATTCCAAATTTCAGAAGAGCCTTATTTTTAGCCCATTTTAATGCACTCCATGCAACAGTCATGAACATTTTTAAAAATTCCTTATGCAGCTAGATTTTGCCATTGTGGTAATGGAGCAATCAAAACCACAGCCCATGTTTTCATACAGTCATTTTTACATGGACATCCACATTTATCTCACAACCCCATTAATAACCAAATTCTCAGGGCCCTCAGATTTGTTTACCTTGAATGACTCTCTGACAAAATAATACATTGCCTTAAATGCTGCAAAATGTTGCTTTACAGTCTGTAAAATTCAGCAAGCTAATGTTTGGGTTCTTCTTACTGCTATACCATTAACCCAAAGGTGTCCAAAGGATATGGTTGAAAAGTCAAGATGGGAGCTGTGAAAGGCAAAGCTCCAATGGTGCTGTCATAGCCCGCAACTTCACTTCTTTTTACCATAAGCTGCTGACATCCCTGCTCTGTGCCTTTTTTGTTTTACAACTGGTTGGTCAGTGGCCATACCAAAGAATATCTGGCTGTCTATCTACCTACCTACCTGCCTGCCTGCCTGCCTTTTCACCATCTGCAAATGAAGAATGTTTTAATTAAATACAGATTTGTTGTTCTTTCAACGACAGTATTTATAATGCTTGAAAACTGCTCTGCTCAGATGCGTATCCGGAAAGGCAGACTATTTACTGTGGTGATGATGATAAGACCTTTATCAGCTCTTTCCTCCTGTGTTTCCTTTAACATGCACTGGCACATCCACCAAGAGATGATTCAGGAAGGAAATGCGGCGCTTGGAACGGCTGGTCCACCCGCACAAACCCCCGAAGTGCTTGGAAGCACGGCCACCGCGGAAACGTGGCCAGGCCTGGGCATCTTTTCCAGCCGTGACTCCACGACTCCTCATCCTCAGCGTCCTCTCTTGGGCCCGCAACCCCCAGCCCTGGACAACCAGCCCCCAGCCCTCAACCGGCCATCTCCCCCCACCCCCCACGAGTCGCAGGGTCTTCTGGAGTCAGTGGACCGCGGTGGGGCGATGGCTGGGAGATGCTCGGAGGACGCCTGGATGGAACCAGGGCCCTAGCTCCTCTTCCTCCTGCAAGGGCCCCTCCAAAGCGAAGCAGCCCCCCACCCACCAGCCCTTCGCTCCCCTCGTCCCATCCAGAAGCGCTTGCAAGGGGAAAGCATCCCCCGGGAGAGGCGAGAAGGCGGGGCTCGGTTGCCGTGGAAACCCAAGCTTCCCCGGGAGCCGCGCAACGATCCCCCCGCGGTGGGGAGGGAGGGGCCGGTTGCCGTGGAGACGAGCG